AAGGACAGGGAAATAATGATGGAGTACCTCAAAATTTGATGCAAAAACGCATGATCGCACCGGCTCACCTGGTACGTTCCAGCCTGGTTTTGAAAATGACCCAGCTGTTCAACGAGCAATTTTTCCGCCAAAAAATTTGAGTGCGTGTACGTGAGAAGCACGCCTCCCAGGAGGTTGGATTTAAAACCTTTAAGTTGCATTTGACGAGGAATATTCTTCTAAAATTTCAGCTTTCCCGAGTTAGCACTTCTCCCGCCAAAACTTTCACGGGGCCGTATGTAAACCTGAAGGCTGAATTTGAAATCTTTAAGGTGTGCGTGGGCTAGGGACATCCCCTTAAAATTTCAGCGTCCCAGCTTTCCTGGTTCCCGAGTTAGCAATTCTCGCCGCCAAAAATTTTCATGAGGCCGTGCGTGAAAACCACGCATGCCTGGTGGCTGAATTTGATAGCCTTAAGTTGTGCATGGGCGGGGAACATCCTCTTAAAATTCCAGACCCTTAGCTTACCTGGTTACCAAGTTAGCGATTTTTCCGCCAGGAACCCTCGCAGGACCGTATGACGTAACCACGCACGCCTGAGGCTTGAAATCTTTGAGTTATATGTGGACGAGGAACATAGCCTCGAAATTTTAATTTCCCAGCTTTTCACGTTCCCGAATTAGCAATTTTCCCGCCAAAACTTTCACGCACCCGCACGCGGGGCCCAGATGTGCGTGAGGGTTAGTACCGCGGTCTTGGGGTGACATCTGGCCTGGAACCCACTGACAAAATTTTGGCGCCAGATCTTTTTGGTTGTCGAGTTGAAATACACAGGCAGACGAACACACACACAAACACACACGCTCGCACAGACAGGGTCGTTGCAATACGCGTTTCTACAATTTGCATACATGCCAAAACGCATAAAAAAGACTGAAAGTATACTATTTTAGAGGAACAGATTTTGGTAGAAGCAATTCGAAGGTCATTGAATAATGTCCTTATGAGTTTTCTGTCACCGGTGGACAAATTTATGTTGCTGTCGCGCTGCTGGTCGGTTTTCTTCATGCTTCACTATATCGCTGCATCACAACCGCCACCTCTGAACCATCTGAAGGTACGTCAGTGTAGGCAAATTTTCAGGACAGCTCAAAAGAAGGGGAAAATAATCGCCCAGACTGTTTGAACTTTCGGCAAAAAATCCTCATTATTAGTTCGTTTGGCTTACTTCTTTTACCAAAATCTTTGACGTTTTCACAAAACATTTGGCAAATGTGTGAAAAAGAGGGTAACGAATATTATAGGAACCGCCTGGAGAATCGGTGTAGGGATCTGACGTCAGGTAATACTGCTGAAATGCTCCCACACGCCGAGCGCACTTATGCTAGGACTTCCAAACGTAAGCTGAATGCGTTCAGTTGGTGCCCACATGTTTAATGTATTATATGTGCGCCATCACCTTCGAAAGGTGACAAGTTGCCAGTTATTTTTTCATAGGTACCACTCACTGCTACGCAATAACCAGTAGCTGTCAACAAATGATAGCAAAACATCCTGTCTATCGGATTTAACTTTCTTGTATGGTTCCGGTGGGATTTTGGGCGCCGAAAAAGTAACCGGTTTTAGGAAAACTTGCGCGTCGTCTCTTACCTAATGCCTTCCTTCCTTGCCGTCAAAGCAGTAAATAGCCACAAGCTGCATTCAAATTAGTTACAAACGAAAAACAGAATCAGTTTGATTATTAATTGGCGCATATGTCTTGCTGAGTTTATGCATTTAAAAGATGAAATTTCAGCTGAACGAATTGGTAAATTCGGCGAAAATGGATCAACAATTGGACAATTTGGACAGTGAAGAACTTAGGCTCGCTACCTCTTATTTGCTGAGCAAATTAGGTAATGAACCTTCTTCCCATGGCTACTTGGATTAACTGCAGCTCATAATTTGCTTCTTCATGGCAATTTTTTCAGCTGCTTTCGCCAATGTCAGATTGACCGGTGATCGGTCTGCTTGATGTCTAATTCGTCTCTTAAATGAATTACCAGCTCAGCAGTTTTCCCGACAGAAGCAATTAACAATGTCTCTAGCACATTCAGCTGCGATTGTTTCATCAATTTCTACTCATTAAGCACAATGAACTACTTCATTGACTTCGAGAATATTCCTTGAAAATACTTGGACTGGCTTTATAGCCACCGGGTTGTCCGGACTTGGCAAAGTAGTGATAAACGGCACTATCGATCCATTTGTTACTCGTTTTGATGATAAATTGGTGCTGGTCAGCGCTAAAGGAATAGCATCCAGCTTGCATCTAAGCAACTCTTGGAAGCCATGAACAGCCCTTGCCATTAGGTAGTTTTAGTCCACGTTATCATTTGAGATGCTTTCCAACTGTCCACCCTTCTAGAATGCGTAAATTATGAAAAGACTTTACTCTTAGTTTTATTATTAAGCGTTTTGTCCTGTGTAACAGCATTACAAAACGCATATTGTCACGGGGTTGTCTGTGTGTGTGTGTTTGTGTGTGTGTGTGCTTGTGTATGTGTCCCACATTTTGTCCTCCACTTTCAACTCGGGAACCACAAAAGCCAGACGATTGAAATTTTTTGGTATAGTGTTCCCCGACAGCGGGTAACGCGGCAAATTTAAATTCAGCCTTCCCGTACCCGCGGGTAACACGTACGGCCCCGAAAAAGTTTTTCGGGTAAAATCAGTATCTCGGGAGCTACGAAAGCTAGGAAGCTAAAATGTTACGGGTATGTCCCCTGGCTACGTGCGACCCAAAAAGCTCAAATTCAACCTTTCTGTACCTGCGGGTAACACGTACGGTTTCGTGAAAATTTTTTACGGGTAAATTAATATCTCGGGAACTACAGAGTCTAAGAAGCTGAAATTTTAGGCTAGGGCCCCCTGCCCACGCTCAACCTTACCTACTCAAATTCAGCGTCCCCGCGCTCTCGGGTATCACCTACAGGCTAGTGAAAGTTTTTGCGGGTAAATTATCATCTCGGGAACCACAAAGTCTACAAAGCTGAAATTTTGAGGTAATGGCCCCCTGCTCACGCTCAACCCTGCCTATTCAAATTTCAGCGTCCCCGCACTCTCGGGCATCACCTTCGGTCTCGTAAAAATTTTGGCGAGTAAACTGTTAACTCGGGAATCACGAAAATACTTGCCTTTCAAGGTTTCGAATTCAGCTTTCATGCGCAGGTGCGTGGGATTTTTATTTCCCAGTGTTTGAACTATTTTTGCATAATGTACAAAGCAGTAAAAATCACTAATAGGCAATCGTTCGATGGGCTAAATTGCATAAAACGCATGATCGCACCGGCTAGTCTGGTGCGTGTGCTATTTATTTTGATATATCTTGCAGGTAGGAAAAACGCGGAACTGGGATTCGCCACTGCGCTGGATGAGACATATCGATATTGGCTTAGTCGGCATTGCGCCATATTTCATCCCAATTCACCGCTACGAA